GAAAGCAAAATTTCAGAAACGAAATGTAGGTTTTGCAAAATTCATGGGAGCTGCAGTTCTGTAATTTTTTATTCTGTACAGCAGTTCTGTACCGCGATTTTATTATATAATATAAATATAATATAAAACAAATATTGAATTTTTTTAATAAACATAATTTCACAAAATTGTGGAAATAAAATTGTAAAAATAATAATAAAAAGCAGAAATGAACACTTTCAGCAAGAGCCGCATTTGCCCATGTCATATATATATATATATATATTTAGTGGAGTAGCATGGGTGTCAGTCGCCCGGGGCAAAGAAAAATTTTGCCATTCCCTTATTTAGGTATCTCAATTTAAAAAACTAAAATTCAGTTTCGTCACAGAATAAGTAATGAAAAATTCCGTGCTAGTGTTGCCACCTTTTTAAAATTGCTGACCCAGACGGCAGGTGAGGTTTGTTCGAACAGAAGTTCCTGACGCATGCGTATGCCATTTTGCAATGCAAAGAATAATGTGCAGTGCATGCCAATTCTAAATCAGTTACAGTTAGCGACTAGGGAGACTTGGGTAGGAGTAACATAAGTAACCTAGATGACTTAGCGCTAATGGATATTGGAGGTGTATATGAATACGAATGGTTTGTACAAGCAAAAAAAAAAAAAATTGATAGGTTGTGCATTATATCCTGGACTGTCCAGATGGTAACACTATTCTGTGCTCATTTCAATCGGTCCGAATCGTATGTACAACGAAAATATGTAATGAAATGGTTCAAACTTTTATAAGATATTATTATTATTTATTGTGAAATTTTGCCACCCCCTAAAAACTTTCGCCCGGGGCGGGCCGCACTTGCTGCCCCCACCACGCTACACCACTGTATGTATCAGATGTCTGATATATTTTATATATATATATATATAAAATTATCTGATCGTATCTTAATGTAATTTGTATGTTTTACAAAAACTTTTAAACAAATATATATGTATATTTAAAAAAACAAATTTTTTATTTTTAAGCTTTTAAATTTATTATGAAGAAAATGTAAGAACTAAACTATTTTAATATTATTAGATAAAATTGTTATTTATTATAAAAAAAAAATGTTAGACATGCCTAATTTTGGAAAAACTGCTATTTATAAAGGATTTTAATTTTATAAAAATTTTCTAGTGTAATTTGTACAGTTGGCTGCTAATTTATTGTGCAAGCAGTCACATTTGCGGGTTTCAGACCCAGAATGGAGGCAGAAGGAGAGAACCAGAAGAAGTACACTCCAAAAGTTATTATTTTCCCATATATACCCAAAAATACCCATTTATGGATAGATAGTATTTACAAATTCTACAAGATACTGGTTACAAGTTTCCATCATTCAGAAGCTTAGCTCAATGGCTAAAAGTAAATTAGATGCTTAGCACAATTGCTGAAGGGATATATATATGTATCGATATACCCAACACGACCCTGATTGAGAGAGAGAGCTCACAGTAAGTTTGCAAGATGGTAAATACCTTAATCACTTGTTGGTCCTAGGAAGTGGTAATCCTAGATTTGGTGAATTGATGATCAGTTCAATGAAGACTCAGTGACTCTGGAAGAAGGAAAGTTCTTTTTCTCTTGCGAGGGCAGCGAGTAACAACGGCTGAAATCGGCGAACACACGCACACTTAAGAAAAAGGGTTGATGATGACTGCTCCAACTTGTTGTCACCCTCTCCCTTTTATTCGGTAGCTCCTCCTGGGTTTTTCCCATGACTTTGTTAGGAGGTTTAGTACATTGGGACCAATCGTCACATTTTCATTCATTGATTCCGGGTGACACATTCAATGTATCATCTTCAACAAGGAAATAAATCAAGGAAAATAGTTTAATTATCTTTGACGATTTTAGCAAAACAACTTTAACGAAAAACTAAATTGAACAAAAATTTTTTTCACCAAACTTGGCTCTCACACTTATAATAGAGCAGATTTTCATTTTCAGTATTATAAATGTCATGATAAGTATAATAATTGACAATGTTTTTAATTACTTTTTGTTTGGCTAGAATGAAATCTCTACATAATTATAGATATTGCAATTATTATTTGACAATTGTAATCTTATAATGCATTTATTTACTAAAATTTTGTCAAATTAACTATAATTTAAAATTTGTATATATAATTCTCTCTTTATTTAATATCTGTTATTTAACTTCTAGTTTTTCATTCCTAGCTATTAATTTTTTTTCTTCAAATAGAAAAATTGATAGCTAGGAATGAAAAACTAGAAGTTAAATAACAGATATTAAATAAAGAGAGAATTATATATACAAATTTTAAATTATAGTTAATTTGACAAAATTTTAGTAAATAAATGCATTATAAGATTACAATTGTCAAATAATAATTGCAATATCTATAATTATGTAGAGATTTCATTCTAGCCAAACAAAAAGTAATTAAAAACATTGTCAATTATTATACTTATCATGACATTTATAATACTGAAAATGAAAATCTGCTCTATTATAAGTGTGAGAGCCAAGTTTGGTGAAAAAAATTTTTGTTCAATTTAGTTTTTCGTTAAAGTTGTTTTGCTAAAATCGTCAAAGATAATTAAACTATTTTCCTTGATTTATTTCCTTGTTGAAGATGATACATTGAATGTGTCACCCGGAATCAATGAATGAAAATGTGACGATTGGTCCCAATGTACTAAACCTCCTAACAAAGTCATGGGAAAAACCCAGGAGGAGCTACCGAATAAAAGGGAGAGGGTGACAACAAGTTGGAGCAGTCATCATCAACCCTTTTTCTTAAGTGTGCGTGTGTTCGCCGATTTCAGCCGTTGTTACTCGCTGCCCTCGCAAGAGAAAAAGAACTTTCCTTCTTCCAGAGTCACTGAGTCTTCATTGAACTGATCATCAATTCACCAAATCTAGGATTACCACTTCCTAGGACCAACAAGTGATTAAGGTATTTACCATCTTGCAAACTTACTGTGAGCTCTCTCTCTCAATCAGGGTCGTGTTGNCTCCCCGGGGGGGAATTTCGAAAAATCCTTTCTTAGTGTGCGTTTTCATGACTTACCCTATCTGTGTACCAAATTTCAACTTTCAACTCCTAACTGTTTGGGCTCTGCGCTTATTATTATTATTATTATCATTATTATTATTATCAACTCGTCTCGATTATATATTAGATTATGTAGAGATTTCATTCTAGCTAAATAAATTAAAATAAGAAGGAAAGTGCCAATGATTAAAATTAAGTAAATAAAATGATTATTAAATAATGTTGAAAAATTAGAAATATTAGTATGTAAATGAATAATTATTTTAAATACTTGTTTAAATATTTTTCTTCTGTATAGGGAGCAAATACAGAAGAAGATTTCTTAATATTAGCAAATAGTGATATAGCATTGTTATGTGGTGCTCTTATTGTATTATGGCAAAAGTTTTTACAATTTGTTGTTGGACAAGAAAAAGTTCGTCATCATTTAGCTAGACAGCGTCATGTTCAAAGAGTGAAACGTTTTGCTGAAGCCTTCTTTATTATTGAAAGAACAAGGGAATCTGCTTTCACACCATGTGAAAATAGGTATACTAAATATTTATTAATTGATTTAAATATAAGAATATTGTAACACACAAAATACAAAATGGTAACTGGTGCTAATAAACTTGATAAATAACATCAATAGAAAAGAAAGTTAAAATGAGAACATTTTATATGAGAGTGACAAAAAGGGATACTGATAGAATAGTCTGTAGACTGTAAGAAAGGGGAAACATCAATGCTTTTAGTAGAGACTGCATTAAAGGAAAATGTGGAAATTAGATGGAAATGAAGAAAAACATTAGAAGAGATAAGACAGGATGAAAATATATCATTCTGAAAGATTATGGATAAGGAGAAGAAGTATGAATGCCATAGTTAATGTTAAAACTTATGTGGGAAAATTAGAATGGGTTTATTTCATGGGTTTGAAGTTAAAACATATAATGCTATAAGCTGTAAGCCCACTCTAACCATCTCCACAACATTGGATTGCACCTTGTGAAGCTTTAATATGAATAATTTTTAATGACTTAATATTTGCAACCACAATTCTATAAATAAAACAAAAATTAAGATTGCTGTTGTATTTTGAACTATCTGTTCTACGTAATATTATTTGAAACATCCATTTATTTGATGAATTTTGAATTCCAATGCTTGTCTGAAAACAATAAGATTTATTTATCAAAAATACTAGTATTTAATTATTTGGTATTTTGTGTGTTATAATTTATAAAAATTATATTAATTTCATCCTAAGTATTATAATCATATAAATTCTAAACTTTACAATTAAGATCAAAAGTATATAAATTCAATATAAACTACATATTGAACTGAAAGAAGAAACTTTGAAAAAAAAGTAGTTTTAATACTATTCAAAGTAATCTCCTTAACAAACCATATGTTTTTGCAGTTATTTAAAAAAGTTTTAAACTTATTTATATATTTTGTGTCTAATTTTTGAACATAGATATCTTCTGTAATGTCCTATTCTCAAATTGTTTTTTTTCAATATTTTTTTTGATTTTGAAAAACAAAAGCTAGCCTGTTAAAGATTAATTAGCAAAATGAAGAGTATGGTTTAGTTCTTTATCATTTCTGGAATTTGATTGTTGTAGTTTTCACATTTTTTATTTTCAGATTTAGGATGTATAATAAGCTATTACAAAATCTCAAACATACGAAGCAATAAACACCAACTGTACCAAAAAACTGGAACTGTACATGTAAATAAAAAATTACATATCAGTGCAAAATTTCCAGCAAAGAAATTCAATATTCTAATGTTTTCGGCTACTATTTCATCGACCCTCATCAGGAACTGTAGAATGGAAAAACCGTTCTATAAATAGAATGTCTTTATGTTCTAATGTTAAAAGTTTCAAATACATTGGAATAAAGGCTGTGACATATGTTATATGACATATATTATGAGTCTAGATAGTATTTCCATGCATTTTGTACATGAATGGCATCTGTGTTGATGCAGGCTCCATTCCTGTCTGCCCTGTAGATTGCTACAGCTTCTAATGTTCTAATGTTTTGCAGCTCTGGCATGTTATGCAAGCAATCCAGGGATTTCTCCATGTTGGGACCAAGCTACCCTAATACACAAGGTCTTCAACCGGCAAAACATTAGAAGCTGTAGAGAACTACAGGGTGGAGAGGAATGGAGCCTGCATCAACACGGATGCCATTCGTAAACCAAATGCATGGAAATACTATCTAGACTCATAATATACGTCATATAACATACGTCACAGCCTTTATTCTAATGTTTTGAAACTTTAACATTAGAATGCAAAGGCATTCTATTTATAGAACGGTTTTCTCCAGCGTTTTTTTTGTCATAGAATGCAATGGAATGGTGTTCCACCACCTTTTTTCGATATATTTTAAAAGTTTTAAGAGAATTTTTGAAAATTTTATGTTTGGTCCATGTTGAATCGCTCTGTTGAGCATAGATCGGCAACAAAATTATTAAGATGAGCCTGCTCCTGCTTGTGTGTTGAATCTTGTGTACGATGCATGCATACTGCAAACTTAGTTTATGGTGACTGTGACATATTGCTTGGTTCGTGTTTGGTCATGTCATGATTTGGCGGCAATGCAGGAATCGCAGTGCTAATTGTGACTGGTGACTGTCATTTCGACTGTTTTATATTTTAGCCTGGGATGCCCCTAGTGGGCATTCCACCACCTTTTTTTTTCCCCCGAAAAAAGCACTGGTTTTTTCATTCTATAGTTCCTGACATGGGCTGATTAAATAGTGGCTGAAAATGTTAGAATATTGAATTTCTTTGCTGGAAATTTTGCACTGAGGTGCAATTTCTTATATATGAAACAAACAACTGAGAACATTTGTTATTACAGTCGACCCCCCTATAAGATATAGATACGTTCCATTCTTTAGGAATCCGATTTCTTACGAGTCGTTCCAATCACAGCCCGACACGTGTCAAGTTTACGGACTACGGCTGATTGAAAGGTTTTCTTCCATAAAATTAATCGATTCTAGACTAATCCGACTCAACATTTCCAAAATACGTATATTTTTTTTGGAAATAATCCGTATAAACTACGCTATAAATAAAAAATTGTAGGATTACTTACCGAGTGTCACCATTCGACATTGCCATTGCTCAACATTGTTTTCGTCGCGGAACAGCTCAGCAAACCACAGCCGATTTCTAATAACTTATTTTTCTGCGAATAGTTCCTTGAACTTCGGAGACATCATTAATATAAATAATTTTAATCGCCGTTGAATAAGAAATGTTTCTTTCACAAGAAATGTATAAAATTACAGTACTGTATTAGACTTACGGTACCTAATTTACATACTGACAGACGATAGTTAGCGTAAAAATCTCCGTAGCGTGGCGCCACGCTAGACGGCGGAAATTATATATTTAATTATAACAAAGTTACAATAAGTTAATATATAATTATATGTACCTAATTTATATATAATTTATATAATACTGTCCAGACGATAGAAATCTCTCCGTAGCGTGGCGCTACGGACGGCGGGAAAGTAGTTCGGCTGCCCGATGACATTTGAGGTAATTATAGGGGGTTTTTACTGTTTTTTACGGATACCGGTCACAATTTTTTCGTAGTTTTATAGGAATCGTAATTATAGGGACCGTAATTATAGGGGGTCCGACTGTATATATTTTCTTTATTAATTTGTTAGCTTCAGTTGCAATTCTGTACAACTTGCAGTAAAATGCTCAATTATTATAAGTAGTGACAACAATGTGTATAATAACTTAGAAAATCTCAAAGTGCTCTGTTTTTAATTAAATATTACATCTTTTATCAGTGAGTTTGTATACAAAAGTAATTAGATTGATTGTTGCACATATGTTGAATTATATTTTTGCTTACTTTTATATGATGATAATTATGTAGTTCTGAACTTAAATATTTATTTAATTTAGTAAAAGTATAAAATATTTTATTATTATTATTTTTTTTATAGTACTGATTTTTATCAGCGAGTGACTGAAGCAGCTAGAAGATCTCAGTATTTAACTTTATTGCCACCTTTAGAAGTAGAATGTATTGATTTAGATGGTGATCATAATTCATTACCTATTATATATGAAGAACGATATGAAGAAATAACTAGGAGGACATCTAGGAACAGTCGGGGTTCACGTATGTCATTTCATATATTAAACTTTAACATTTTTGCTGAAAAACTGATTATTATAATTATAGATTTTAAAAGTGTTTATTACACATAATTGAAGTGAAAGTGAAGTTGACATCAAAATTTGGGAGATTTTACTCAAATATTTTTTTCCAGTAAAATATTTTTCACAGTCTGGAAGAAAATAATATAAACTGGTGCAAATTAAAAATGAAAACCCTGTTTTATCAAAGTCAGATGTAGTGTGAGCAGTTATATATTTTCTTCTTATTGATTTATGATTTTATAACTTGTAAATACTAGAGCTTTCTAAGCAAAAACTTCTTACTTGTTAGAAAAGTTTTTGCTTTGAGAAAAATAAACTTAATGCAAGTTATGGATGTTTTAATTTATTCTTTAGAACTGCCCATTTGGTGGCGTTTTGAAAAATTGCTTTATATTATTGTTGCATCAAAATTATACAGTCTTTCCAACAATAATAGGATATACAGTGATTGTCTAGAAACACTTTATTATTTTCATGTAACTGTAATGAAATTTTCTAGTATGTTCTATAGTAAGATATTAACAATTATTACACAAGTTTGGAGAAAAATGATTAATAAACAAAAGAACTAGATACTATTAGCAAAAAGAGAATGCTCAAAATTAGTAGAACATCTTGACTTATGATATTGTTAAACTAAAATTAGTAGCTGATTTTGTTACCATTTTTGGAAACAAGCTGAAAAATAAGATTAGGCATTGAATTAATCAAATATTGCAATTATTCTTGAGGAATATTTTCCCATGCCTCAATGAGAGCAGTCTTTAGTTCCAGTGATAGTCTTGTATTGCTTTTCACTGCTACATATTTGGAAAACCAAGTCACTCCAAAAATTTTCAGTTGGGTTTAAATCTGCACTGAGGGGTGGCCAGTCCAAAAGGATAACATTGATTTTGATACATGGAAGCTTGCATTATCCTGCATAAATTCAAAGTTCTCTCCAGCAATTTTTTACTCATAAGTTTGGAACTGCCTCCAGACAAGCTCCTGATTAGTTTGAGAGTTGTGTCAACCTTCAATAAATACTAGATCTGTCTTTCCATTCTATCCAATCTCCACCGAAGTCATGAGTATACTACCATCAGCTACTCTCTTTGAGTACTGCTTTTGATATAGTCTTTTGTCTGCCCAATAATAATAAAAATTATCAGGTCTGTTGAGATTCCACTTTTTCTCATCCAAGAAAATTACTTTTTACCATCCTTCCTCTCTTTCAAAGTTGTTTGTGTTTCTCCTTGAGCTAGTTGCCTGTCTTCATTCTGATGTAAGGCTAATATTTTTGGAATCTGTGGATGTGATAATTCCTAGGGAATAACAGTGTTTGAATTGGTTATATATCGATAAATCTATTAGATTGTTTTTTGAATTATATTTATTGTGAAAGATATATTTTTAAACTTTTTAAATGTAAAAGTGATAAAATAAGTAAATTATATTCTAAAATTTCAGCTTAGGGCTGGTTGCGTGAATTTTAACCTCAAGGTTAAAATGCATATTAATGTACAGAATTACTCTTGACAACATTTCAAAAATAATTGCATGAATGTAAACCTTTGGGGTAAATAACTAGCTAAGTTAATTAATTGGCTGATATTGGGCAGTTAAAATATATTCTGTATATTATTGGAGAAACAAAACGAAGTTCTAGAGTTCATAAGTTCTGATTCTAATATAGATGATCTTTATTTAGACCAGAGATAGGAAATCTTTTGTAATTGCAAGGTCAGATATCATTTCAGAAAGATCTTGTACTATTGCATGTTGTATAAGCATTGCACATTTAGCACACATGCACCAGAAATATACATAAATTATATTTAGATGGACACTTTTATTGAAGAAAAGAATAAAAAATTTACTTTTATAACTCAAGATGTATGTTGACAAAATTATATCAATTTATGTTATCAGGTTTCACTAGACCCACAAAAGGCTGCAAGTTTCCCTTCTATGATTTAGACTATTTTAATGAAGTTTTTCCTAATCCTAATAAAAATATTTTTTAAAAATCTAGATCCTATAACATAGTATAATGCTTGTAAATTTCAAGAGCAGTTTGGTTGTAAAAAGGCAATGGTTTTATGTTTATTGTTGGAGATAAATTAATTGTATTTTACATTTTATAGTACAGTAATAAATTATGCCAAATCTATTAATATACAATTTTCTTCAACCCTTTATTTTATCCTACACTTTTCTTATTTTTTGTTTGCTTATCATTTTGGTTACAGTTGCCTTATTTCATAGTTGCATTACCAAAAACTTTTCATCTGTAAACTATCTGCTGAGTTAAAGTGGCTCATGCACCAATGTAGCCTATTGTGAGATCTGGGATTTTAGTAACGAAATCCCGCTCTTTTATTAACTAAAATTTTAATTAATTCGCTTTCGTTTATGTAACGAACTAGAGAAAAAAAACGATCTTAGCCGGGAATGTGTAAACCTTCCTGTCATAACTATCAACATCTATTGTTCTCTGCAGAACTTGCAGCTCATCTTGCAGAAAAGTTTACAGTTAACATCCAACTTTCGTCACTTGTTTTAGGTCCCTGGAACACCTATAACCTTTAACTCATGAACATCCAATCATGTGGTGGAAATTCCCCACAAAAAGCTATAAAAGACAGTTCTTACCCCCTCTTGGGGGAGTCTCTTAATGAACGCTGGACCGACGACATCACGCCGATTCTCCAAACCCGCCGAATTCCAATCTACAATCGTCGAATCTGATCATCGCCAAAGTCGCGAACTTTTTATAATTGTGCTCAATTGGATTAAACCCACTTTCCTTTGGACATTTGAGTGCTTCTAGGGAATTACCCGTCACGGAACCTACAAAGAGGTATGAAAAGCGGGAAAACACTCTCTCTCGAGAAATTAGGCAGTGTAGAAACGCTATTTGTGTAGTCTTTTTGTCCATTTTGCTTATTTTAATAAATTGTTGTTATATTGGTTAAATATGGTAGACTCCTTTACTCAATCACGTCTTTCACCTTATCATCAACTCCAAATTCTCTCCCTTCACTCGCCTGACATTTGAGTCCCAACCAAAGGGACTGTTATCGTAAAACAAGCTATCCTGACAGTGAGCAGGTTTAACGACCTGCTGTTTGTACAGGGAGAGTCGACGGTTCCCGACCTCCCCTGTGGTTCACACTATTCTTTATATTTGTGGCAAGGTTAATAGTTACTCTGTAGTTTAAATTGTAACTCATGCAACCAGCCCTTAATATAATAGTAGAAAAATTACGAATGATGATTTTTTTTTGTTAAATATCATAATTAAAACTTTAAAGAGTATTTGAAATTAAAATATATTATTTTTAAATAATGTGAAATATGAAATGATCTAAATTGCATTTTGTTTTGTAGAATCAACAATTAGTTTATGTGATGTAAGTTTTCTCGTCGAAGAATCTCCTGATGAAGAAGCTGATTTAGAAAGAAGAAATTCTCAAGGATTAGATATACAAAAGACAAAACTTTCTGATAATCCAAAGTTGTCTACTAGTCCAACAGTTTTATCTTGGATTTCTGAGTCAGCTTCCATGAATACAAAATTTCAATCTGCATCTACCAGAAAAATATCATTAAAAGAAAAATTTTTAAATAATTTTAAAGTTGACTTTGATTCTGACAGTGAAGAATATAATGTTCCTACTGGTACATTGAGAACCAATCACAAATTAGCTATGTGTTCTAAAATAAAATTAAAATCCAGAACAGCTAATTTTCTTCGACAGTTAAAGAAACCTCATAGTAATTTTAATAATTCTGTAGTTTTGCTTGGTTTCAAAAAATTAGATTCTGCTCGTAATATTTCTGCTGTAATGACAAAATCTTCAAGATCAAAAATTCCTCTTGAAAATGGAATTAGGCATTCTCAGAGTACATTATCAATGGTAGGATCGTTAAGTAATGACAATGATAGATCTTTATCAAATAGTGAATCTCTACCTGATTTAACAACAAATTTTATACCTCCGCCACCGCCACCACCTCGAGCAAGATTTGCAAGTTCAGAATTAGATTGGCCATCTTCTGATTTTATACTCTCAGATGTTCCTCAAAGTCCAGCTTTTGATCCTCCTATTAGAAAAAATAGTAGGAGAAGACATTCTGTTTCACTTTTGCCTCGATTTAGAGGGACCAATAATAATTCCAGGACATTCTCTAAAGAAGATTCTTCAATTAGACACTATTCCCATACTTCTGATACTAGTTTAATTAAATCAGAAAGTTTAACTAAATTTCTTTGTGAAAATGAACAATATTCAAAAGATATTAGTGATGATGTTTTTAATTATAATAATGCAAAAAATTCTGATTCGGTTAATCACAGTTATCAAAATGGAAGTACAGAATTAGTTGACAAAGTTGATGAAAAATCTGAACAAATTATAGGAAAATGTGCTGTTAATGGTAAAGAATTAGAAAGAATAAGTAGTTCTGTAAAAAGTGAAGAACAAACTGATTTTCACATCTATGAAGAAATTTGTCCTCCGTCTCCTCCTGTTCAGTTCAGAGATCCTCCAAAAAATGAATCTCTATCAAAACAAGATAACAAGTATTCCATATTTAATATGTTATCAAATACAGATAGCATTGTATCAAATCCAACAACTTGTCTGTCAAGTTTATCTTGTGAAGGTACATTGTTTTTTCCTAAACCTCCAGCCCAATTTGCAGCTGACAGTACAAATGAAGAAGTTTCTCAAGACAAAGAAAAACCTACAGAGTGCACCAATAATTCTAATTCAAGAAATGAAAATGAGAAAGATGGCAGCCCGTGTCTTAAGACAAGTGATTCAAAACAATATTCATCTGATGATTTTACAAATAAGCAGACTAAAAAAATTGATGAAATATCATATTTTGAAACTAAATGTACAATATTAGAAATGTTAACAGATATATCAGATATTGAAGATCCATATTGGTCTTACCAATGGAATGATGCAACAGTGTTATTTTCTGATAACAATCAGTCACATTCAGGAAATAGCCCTTTAGGATTTTCTGAAGAAAATACTGTTAGTTTAAGACGTGCATCAGCCATTGGTGCTGATATGATCAGGTTAGTATTTTTATTGTATAATTAATTATGAACTAAATTTGTTTTTTAAGAAAAACATATTATTTTGGTAATGTTAAAATTTACTTTTAATTTATTATGGGATCATTTTATATCATTCAGTTTACTATTTACATAAGTGTAAACAAAATCAGACATGAAACAACATTAATGAATTTAAGAAAAGATGATTGTTTTTAATGGTGCACATTTTTCATCTGTTTTATTATTATTTTCCCATATTAAATTTTTTCAGATCATTATTGTAAATGCAATTGCTGGAATTTTGTATATAATTGACAAAAAATATTTTTACTTGGAAGTTTGTTTTTTAATAATTTTGAAACTAACTATCAATAAAGTAAAAGTTTACTTTTAAATATGACTTTTTGTATAAAAAAGTTTATATATTTATGTTTCTCAACATATCAACCTAAAACAGACTTATAATGTCAATTACTAGTACAGTTACTCCATTTATTTATAATAACTTGAATGTTTTGTCACTATATGCCAATTTCAGTTATGTATAAAATTACAGCCTCTTTGATATAAAAAAATTTCTTTTTATTAAATATATACACAGTGTATTCAAAAAGTTCCAGGACTGCTGTTGCTGCAGATATATAAGTGGCACCATCTCAGTGTCATTGCTAGAACTAATTAGTATGAACTTTCCCTTAATTTTCTGTTCAAATTTCATCAAATGGGACTCATTTGTAGTAAGCAGTGATGGTTTGAAATTTGTGTGCTTTCTTTCGTTCTCATGATTTTCAAGACAACAAAGAGCTGCAATCGAATTTTGTTTTAAATGTGGTAAACCCATCCACATAACATCAAACTGCTGAATAGCACAAATTAGAAGAGGACAGAAATGAAAGCAAGGACCACAAATTCAAAAGTGAAGATGATGATGATCTCATTTTTTGATTCATGAATTCCACTGTAAATTCATGCCTTCTGGCCAGATTGTGAATAGACCTTTCTATGTAAGAGTACTTTATTGCCTTTTGAGAAGAATTTGCAGGGTTAGACCAGAAATGTACAAATCAGAAGAATGGTTTCTCTTCTGTGACAATGCTTGGCACATTCTTCACTTATTGTTTCACAATTTCTCACTATAAAATCAATCACAATGATCAATTAACCCTCTTACTGAATTTGACTCAATCTGACATTTTTCTGTTTCCCAAATTGAAAACAGCCACTGAAAAGAGACTGTTTTGAAGATGTAAACATGTGAAGGATGAACATGATGTCTTTAACTTGATTTCACAGGAGGAGTATGCACACTTCTTCCAAAAGTTGTATGAATGTTTTCAAATATGTATTAAGAGAGAAGGGATATATGTTGAATAATAAACAATGACATTTTATTTATCTGAAAAATTGTATTATTAGTAGTTAGTTCTGGAACTTTTTGAGTGCACTGTGTATACAGCAAAAAAGTGGAAATTTAAGACAGAACTGCTGATGACCAAAATGAATTTATTCAGAAACATTTCTGATCTCTAATCAGGCAATTATCAGCTAATGTACAAAGTGAATACTTATGAATTAAAATTACAATATAACAAAATATAGAACTTTAAAAAATTCTGTATTATTCTACGAACATTATTTTTTTAAAAAAATGTTAATTTTGGAACGTCTCATTTTAAATACAAAATTTTGCAAAGCATTCATTAATATTTAATGACTAATAAACATCTACAAACAAAATCTTTTTTTATCAGTGTTAAACCTGATTAAAAAAAAAGGTTTTGTTTGTGGATGCTTATTACTCAATACATCTAAAATACCTGGAGATAACTTATAGATACAAATTCACTGAGTTCAGCGTTAATAAAGTTCCTTTAGTAATAACACAAGCACTTTCAATGAGTGTATAATCGTCGTCTTCAGGTGAAAAGAACAAATTTTAACAAGACAAACGTGCAGGATGTTCCAAAGGAACAGAATACTTAAATTCAAACAGGCGTCCGGAAATTCCATTAAGAACATGCAAATAATTTTTGATATGTTCGAATCTTTATATTTTACGATGCTAGCGGCGCATGCATGGAAATGCTACCGCGTTGGCGATACGATGTTAGGCGCGTTTTGTTTTTTAGGCACCGATATAAGGCAATCCACACCCGGGTAGATCGAGGGTGGGAACATTGCACGCTTCTGAAGTAGATGACGTCGAAAGTGCTTGTGTTAATACTAAAGGAACTTTATTAACGCTGAACTCAGTGAATTTGTATCCATAAGTTATACAAATATTGGCGTGAGTTTTTAAATTTATTTATACCTGGAGATTCTTGATATATACAGAGCTATTTCTATTTGCTATCAACAGCAGGGACAAGACTCCTATATCGCATGCCTGAAGAGCAGTATTTGAGCACATTTAGCAACTATGTAATGTAAACAGTTCTGGCTTAGTATATATATTATGTTCATATGTTATCATTATATATCAGCATTCCAGTTGTTTTGGAGTATATTTTATTCCGACTTTTTGTTATTTATAAACATTTAACCTTTTTATAGTGTTGTTTTATTTTGTTAACATTTTTATTTTATAATTTATTACTGCATTCCTGCACATGTGACATTTGTACACAACAAACGTTATTTAAATTCTGTTTTTGTTTGATTTGCATTCTACCAGTAGAACCTGAAGATGGCCTCTGTAAAGGTTGAAAATGTTTGTTCTTCAATAAATATTTTTATTCTTCTCACTGGATTTTAGGTTTGGAAGTGATGTAGAATAAATTAAGATCAAGGAAAGAATAATGAGAACCTTGATGAAAATGAAAACTGATTTAACATGTTGACTTCCATGTATTTACATGTGTGTTATACAGTAATTTAAACGGAGGTTTCGCATAATTTAAAACCCATAGAATAATATATTAAATATACTATGATTTAAAGAAACTTCTATGTATTACACCTATGTTATAAATGGTCTGTTCAGATATTTAAGTTTATATAGTGTTTTCATGGCACGGAATAATAATTAAATTTTGCATATTAAAAAAAATTACTGTGAAGCAAAGATAACAATAGCAATAAATTTCTTTTTTTATTGAATAATTACACAAATACAGATAAGCAATTAACCAAAAATACAATAACAATATCTGAAGAAATAGACATAGTTTGCCAGCCAATATGATTAAATTGAATCTCTTTTATTAACACCCATCCACAATAAAAGTCCAAGAATTTTTTTTATTTCAATAGAAACAGGTTTCCATTTAAGATATTTTGATTTTGGTTTCATTTGAATCTTACTAATATATTGATCTACATATCTGTTTGTTTCACAGATAATTATTTCAATTACTTCATTATCCAAAAATAATGAATAAATTTCTATTGGAGAGGCATTCAGAAATATCTTCATTATAAGACAAAAATGAATCATCAAATTCTGAATCATTTGACCCAAATAGGGATGTTGAGCAACTCCCAACATCCTTTTCATTTTATAATTTATTACAATTAGATTTCTTCATTATCAACAGTATCTATTTTACCATAACAAAAATGTCAAACTCAATTGAAAAAATTGCCAAATAAACAAAAATTAAATTTTATTTATATATT